TCTGTATTTCTTATTGATTGATGGCATTAGTTACCCAACCGACGTTAGCACCTCATTAGTATAAATATTAAGATTTTTGTATTGCAATCGATAGTTCGTCGATTGTTATTTACTGGTTGTCCATTTATAACGTTTGTTCGTTATACCCTTTTCCCACACCATCTTCAATTACTTTGGTCGCTCCCCCTATTACGATTGCAAATTACCCCATTCCCACGGGCACATTCTTAATTCGATTTCACAGTTCTCTGTCTCTGTGTTTTGTTTTTATTTTCTTTGCAGCAAAATTGATGCAAAATGTTGGTTCCTCCTAAAAATTTATAGTTTTCCGTAAAAAATTAGTGATATACACATTTATAAACTTTACTTCTCGTACTCAGAGAAAATACAAGTTTTGACTTGTGAGCTGGTTTCGATAAATTTTATATAAAAATTAGGCACCGACAGCACCGATTTGTTCGTAATTCGCATGTTAATTGGATCTCAATTACCAACAAATGAGGTAATTCGCTCTTAAAATTTTGTATGGCGAATTACGTTATTCTAAGGTTGATTAGAGTGCAAATTACGAATGAGAGAGCGAACTACGTAATTGGGGTGGTGTGAGAAAGCCGTATTAGCCACACAGTAATAGGGGTCAACATCTAAAGTAATAAAGCGATAGATTGCTTAAATTTGCCCTTGGTAAATAATTGCACAAAATTGTTTATTATTTAACTTATCTGACTAGTTACGTTTCATTCTTACCTCATCCATTGTGCTAATTTGCTTTTTATGTGTTCGTAGCAAAATCGAGCATCTTTAAGTCTCAGGGGAATTGTTAAATGTCAAAAAATTAATTATAAATGTTTGGCTGAAGAACAAACGTCAAAAATGGACGAACAATGAAGAACAATCGACAACTATCGATTCCAATAATAATTAACCCAAAATAATCTATTGGAGGTGCTAGACACAGGAATANAAATCGAGATTCCTGTTTGGACCGACAAAATAAGGTCAAGCAAATCATAACCCAAAATAATCTATTGGAGGTGCTAGACACAGGAATAACGTAAAATAAAAATTGAAAAATTAATTATTACTGTATGGCTAACAAACAAGCATTCAAAATGGACGAACAGTAAAGAACAATCGACGAACTATCGATTGCAATACAAAAGTCCTAATATTTATACTAATGAGGTGATAACGTCGGTTGGGTTTGCATTTTTTAGACATCTAAACTCAACGTTTCATTTAATTTGAACCACCCTACAAATATCAGTGCCGCCAAGTTTCCTTAATCCTAAGTTGTCAGTACTGTCTTTTATTTCGCTTCACCTCTTTTTTTCGTCGTTGTTTGGGCTACACTTTTGGGTTATTCCATCTATTTTCATAAATTCTTCATAAATTTTTCAGTTTCTTTTAGACTACAAGGAGAAAAGGTGTATATACGGCTTAAATGCGCACGATTGCATATGGCGGAAATTTTTTGTTTTTATTTTTTTCTACTGTATAAAAATTCCAAACGAAACGAGTGCGATAATCACAAAAGCGACGAATTAGTGTCGAAATAAAAACGAATATTGAAGAACCGGCTAAGGCAAAGACGCGACCAAGTGGAAAACGCATGTAGTGAAGTGTAAATATTATTAAATTTTTTATACATATTTCTACGAGGTATTTCTCTCTTGCG